TGCTGATAATAGCCCACCTTAATCAGTTAATCTCATTAGAGTTGGTATGGCAACACCCATTTTTTCATGTTCTGTGTGTGTTGTGTGTGTGTATTTTCCACTGCAAGTATCTAATGAAATGGGCTTTAGCCCATGAAATCTTATGCTCAAATAAATTTGTTAGTCTCTAAGGTGCCACAAGGACTCCTCGTTCTTTTTGCTGATACAGACTAACACGGCTACCACTCTGGAACATTTCTGAGTTATGAACAACCTCCATTCCTAAGGTGTACGTAACTCTGAGGTTCTACTATAATAGTTTCCAGACATGTTCACAACATTCTTGGTTTTGTAGACACCATGGTTCCACAGTGCACTAAAGTGTCCCGGGACATGGTCTTGTGCACTGTTATGGTATTTGAGGCCTTGGCTACACTGGCGCTGTACAGCGCTGCAACTTGCTGCGCTCAGGGGTGTGAAACCCCACCCCCACCCCCCGAGCGCAGCGAGTACAGCGCTGTAAAGCGCCAGTGTAATCAGAACCTGCAGCGCTGCATGCTCGCTTGCAGCACTGCAAGCTATTCCCCTCGGAGAGGTGGAGTACATACAGCGCTGTGAAGTCCCGAGTGTAGCCAAGGCCTGAGTTTGCACATGTGAAAATTAATCCGGAATAAGATAGGATGTGAAGTTACAGTGGCTCATTTTAACTATCTGTAAACCACTAATTCTTGTGTCCTATGACTGTAGTGGTGTTAACTGCCCACTTCACTTTGAATGGTCTCTTGCAACATGTGCTAACTCCTTATCTGTTCCACCCTTGTATTTAGCTATAACACTCTCAGTACCTTTTGCAGACCTGAAGAATAGCTCTGTGTAAACTTGAAAGGTTGTCTTTTTCATCAGCAAAAGTTGATCCAATAAAAGAGACTACCTCACCCATCTTGCCTGTCTAATATACAGGGACCAATATGGCTACAACAACACTGCAATTTACTGTGGGTTAACTATTCCTGATTAACTTCATGTCTAAGTGTACCTTGTTCTGAATTAGGGCAGGTCTTCACTACGGGAGGGGGGGGTCGATTTAAGATACGCAAATTCAGCTATGCGAATAGCGTAGCTGAATTCGACGTATCGCAGCCAACTTACCCCACTGTAGGGACGGCGGCAAAATCGACCTCTGCGGCTTCCCGTCGACGGCGCTTACTCCCACCTCCGCTGGTGGAGTAAGAGCATCGATTCGGGGATCGATTGTCACGTCCCGATGGGACGCGATAAATCGATCCCCGAGAGGCCGATTTCTACCCGCCGATTCAGGCGGGTAGTGTAGACCTAGCCTCAGTTTAAACATGAAAAAGGCATGCTTATCCTGGAATAAGTATCTATATAGAGAGTTAATC